ACTGTTACCAAGTGAACTTGTTGTGGGGTTTGTGTTTGTTCCTAAATTAAGCAGAAAGTGAGACAACAAATACATAACTCATGTTAGGTGTGTGTGTGTGTGTGTGTGTGTGTGTGTGTGTGTGTGTGTGTGTGTGTGTGTGTGTGTGTGTGTGTGTGTGTGTAGGTGTGTGTGTGTGTGTGTAGGTGTGTGTGTGTGTGTGTGTGCTTTGATGAATCATTTAACTGGTGATTGTTGAACCAGTGCACACTCTTTCACACTGACTTTAGTTTAACACTTGGACAAATAAAATTAAATCAAGGCACAAATTTCCAAACTACATATCTTTCACTTGTTTAAGGTTTTGCTCATTATTTTTCCACTTTTCTAACTTTTCATGACCAAATCACTAACAGAATATTTGCTCAGAAATTACAGACAGACAGATAGATGGTTGTATGTTTTTTAGTAAATGTCACTGATTAAATAGAACTATCTGGCAAACTTGAAAAAACATTCAATGAAATAACTCCCCTAATAACCTTAGATCATTCTGCTTTACAGAAAATAGAAGGTGAAAAGGTTGGTATTTGCTGTGTGTAACTCAGCTTACCAAATTGTGCCACTGGTGTTTAAATAAAATGTGTAAAATTAATTAAAACTAATGTAAATTTAAAACAAATAACTTCTGAAGCGAAAGATGCACACTTTATTTCAGATCTGCATGAGAGAGATTATCTCTCCATGCTTTCGTTCTTTTTTAAACACAGAAACAGTTTTGTTTACCTGTTTGTAGCTACGGTTTCGCCGACAGCTGCCGGCTTCTTCAGGCTGACGCTGATGGTGGCGCGTCACTTCCTTCTCCGTTTATCTGCGGGCAGCAGAGGACGTTGTCGCCCTCTACTGCCCGCTCTCCCCTCTCCGACGATGCAGTCCCATGCGTGGTCCAGCGTGTAAACTCCGTCGTCCCTGTTCATGGTCCCACATCCACGTCTCCTTATCTCGAGTGCTTCCTTGATCCATCTTTTGTATTTTTGTTGTTCAGTGGTTATGATCCGTGTGCTGTCCCAGTCCATTATATGGTTTTCTCTTATGCAGTGATCTGTTACGGCTGACTTTTTTATTGTACTTTCTGCTTCTTCTTTTGCTGCTCTTGTGTGTTTACGATTTGCCTCTTTCTCGCACTCCTTTCTGTGTTCTATTGTCCGTGTATTGAGTTGGCGTCCGGTTTCTCCTATGTATGTTTTATTGCATATTTTGCATGGGATTTCGTAGATGACTCCACATTTTTGTCCAGCTGATATTTTGTCTTTTGGGTGCACTAATCTGTTTCTAACTGTTGTGTATGGCTTTGTTGGTGTGTTTATGTTGTGTTTTTTCATTGTTGCTCTTATTTTTTCCGTTATGCCTCTGATGTATGGTAGGGTTATCACTGGTTTTGGTTCTTGTCTTTCTGGGTTTCTGGTTCTTTTTTTGGGTTGTTCTTTGCTTTCTGTTTTTGTTTGTTGTTTTCCTTTGTTTATTGCCCATGTCGGGTATCTGCAGGTCTTTAAAGCGTGTTGTATGTGTTTGTCCTCTTGTTTACGGTCTCTCTCTTCTGTTATTATGTTTGCTCGGTGATATAATGTTCTGATTACTGACATTTTGTGTATGGTGGGGTGTTCTGATGTCCATAATAGATATTGGTCTGTGTGTGTTGGTTTCCCCAAACTGCAAAATAAAACTATGGAAACGCTACGTAGACGACATACTGGAAATCATACCAAAAGGTCAAACAGAAACACTAACACAACACTTAAACAATATTGACGACACGGGCAACATAAGGTTCACTTATGAGTCAGAAACAGAAGGCAGCATAGCATTTATGGATATGAAAATCACCAGGCAGACCGACGGGACCCTAAACATAAACACATACAGGAACCCAACACACACAGACCAATATCTATTATGGACATCAGAACACCCCACCATACACAAAATGTCAGTAATCAGAACATTATATCACCGAGCAAACATAATAACAGAAGAAAGAGACCGTAAACAAGAGGACAAACACATACAACACGCTTTAAAGACCTGCAGATACCCGACATGGGCAATAAACAAAGGAAAACAACAAACAAAAACAGAAAGCAAAGAACAACCCAAAAAAAGAACCAGAAACCCAGAAAGACAAGAACCAAAACCAGTGATAACCCTACCATACATCAGAGGCATAACGGAAAAAATAAGAGCAACAATGAAAAAACACAACATAAACACACCAACAAAGCCATACACAACAGTTAGAAACAGATTAGTACACCCAAAAGACAAAATATCAGCTGGACAAAAATGTGGAGTCATCTACGAAATCCCATGCAAAATATGCAATAAAACATACATAGGAGAAACCGGACGCCAACTCAATACTTGGACAATAGAACACAGAAAGGAGTGCGAGAAAGAGGCAAATCGTAAACACACAAGAGCAGCAAAAGAAGAAGCAGAAAGTACAATAAAGAAGTCACCCGTAACAGATCACTGCTTAAGAGAAAACCATATAATGGACTGGGACAGCACACGGATCATAACCACTGAACAACAAAAATACAAAAGATGGATCAAGGAAGCAATAGAGATAAGGAGACGTGGATGTGGGACCATGAACAGGGACAACGGAGTTTACACGCTGGACCACGCATGGGACTGCATCGTCGGAGAGGGGAGAGCGGGCAGTAGAGGGCGACAACGTCCTCTGCTGCCCGCAGATAAACGGAGAAGGAAGTGACGCGCCACCATCAGCGTCAGCCTGAAGAAGCCGGCAGCTGTCGGCGAAACCGTAGCTACAAACAGGTAAACAAAACTGTTTCTGTGTTTAAAAAAGAACGAAAGCATGGATTTACAAAGACACAGCAAGAACACACCTAAGAGATTATCTGTGTCGATAAGTTTGTATCTGTCAAAGGGGTTTCAGTATTAACAAGAGAAAAACCGCACCGAGACACAGACACGCCAATGTATTGTGATGGATGAGACAGAGGACTCAGATAACATCTCTTGTGTGCACAATGTCTAACTGGTAATGTTGTGGCTGGACTAGGAATCTGTGTTTTAATCACTAACTTCCTGTTTTTTTTTGTTGTTTTTTTTTTGTTAAATGCACACATGCAGGTGCACGCGCGCACGCACACACACACACACACACACACACACACACACACACACACACACACACACACACACACACACACACACACACACAGTAGACCTAAATACAAAAATGTGGTCGACACAGAAAAAAAAAAGTTGTAAGATCATTTCCATGCAGGTTTAGTTACTTGCTTGAATGCTAACAGAGAACTGGCAGAAATCTAATATAGGCATTGATGTACAGTGTAGCAATGAGACCTCAAGAGAATGGGAGATTATTTTTTCCTGTTCTACATTTTGTCATTCTTGTTTAAAAACCTCACAATTCTATCCAGTGGAAAAGAAAACTACCACAAACTTAAGAAAATTAGACAAAGGAAGCTATAAGATAGATCATTTTAGCTGTTATGCACAAAAAATGTTGGTAAAAGGTCAGAATTCACACACCTGCAGTAAAATAAGAGTTTACAAACAGAGACTACCAGGACTGAAGGGATCCAGTTAAGAGTTTTACAAATTTTTATTAGAAAGTCAAAATTGGAGCCCTCGTCGTGCTGAGAAAGCATAGATGTTCTTTAAAGTAGGGATGCACGATGTATCAGCATCAATATCGGCTGATGTTAGTAATTTTTAACATATTGGCTTTGTTCCAATAAATAAAACTGGGCCGATATTAACAACCCATAATTTTCCATCTTGTTTCCATGTGTTTTTCCATTTCGGGGGGGGGGGGGGGGGTATTTGTTTAGTAGTGTGAGAGTGGTTGTAATCATCGCAGAAGTGTAAACAGGTGTGGTGTGTGTGTGTGTACATGATAATGTAAATGCAACTTTAATAATTTTCGTTCTATAGAAAATCTGCTTATTTTAGAAGCATTAATGTCAGTATATCAATATCGACAAATATCAGTTATCGTCCATAACTGTGTTATTAATATCGGTATCGGCCCAAAAACATTATACCGGTGCATCGCTACTTTAACGCATTCATCAACAAAACCACAGAAAGTGCAAGCAAAGCTGAGAAGATTTGAGGCATTTCTTCAGCACATCAAGTTCTCTCAGCCTCCATGAAACTAAAACATGTCAAATGAAATTACACAATAATGCAAAATAAAAACTGGACTGCCATGTCATATTTGGTAGCTTGCACAAAGCTTTAGACATAAATGATGGCACAAAAGTCTAAATGCAACGCCGCTGCACTTTGAAGAGAATTTCTAAATCATATCATCATGGCACTGAATGAGTACGAACAGGAGAAACTCTCTAAGGTTTCACATTCTTTAGATTCCGTCTGAAAACCATTGCCCAAATGGAGAGGAGATTAGACAGAATGATTCAGCTTTACTTGATTAAAATTGTCAAAAAGTGGTGGCTAAATTAGTAAATACTAAAACTAAATTTCTACTAAAATAGCATAGAACATTATTATAAGTCTAGATAAAACGCAGCAAAAACATGAGTATTTAGTAAAGTAAATCTTAATATGTAAATACATTAGAATGATTAGACTGGTTTTCTTGTAATTTGCTGCTTAGAAAATATCACGGCCATTGAGAATGAAACAGTCTGTGTTTGATTTATTTTCTAAAGTATATTGAAATTTCCATAGATAGATGCGTTGCGTTAAGCACCGACGTTAAACATAAACAATGTAGTAGTCACAGCTGCGGCGAACAAGGAAAGAATGTTGCACTGAGTTGAATTCAAAACATTTAGGTATTTAAAACACTCCACGTGACCGATGAATGCGTTTTAAAAAGCATAGTGCCTAAATATGTGTGCGTTTAGCCACTCAGCAGATATACCGTGAATAGTTAGCATGAAAGCTAACCAGCTAGCATGGCTGGTTAGCTAAAGAAGGGGTTTAAATTCGCTTACCTGTCAAGCGCAGCTTTACTGGGCCGTTTCTCCTAACTCCTTGGTTCGACATTCCCTTTTATATTCCACCTTGATCAACTTTGTCGAAAAAGTGTCTAATTCATTTGTCAACGTATGAGTTTCTCAAACAGGTATCTTCCAAAACAATCCCTGTGCTAGCTGGGGTTAGCTCATAGTATCACCGTCGCAAATCACGCTGACTGTGCATGCAGCATAAAGGTATCGACATCAGATAGCTAAGAATACTCGCACCAACGAGGTCCATTGTCACCTATAATAACGTTAAAATACTTCGTTACATTCCCAGGTACTAACTGTGCCACGAGAATCTGACACAAAGTACATGAGCTGGTTGTCCTCCATCCGGGACAGGCGTCTGTTCTTGCCTGCTGCTAAACTGAAGTTGGTGATGATGGCGATGATGAAGGCTAAAAAACTTCAGAAAGCAGTGGAGGTACATCCGGTATGTTCCTTCCAAAGTAAAACACCTGAACAATGTCATTTCTACGTACAAAGGCAGCTTCTGTAATACATTTCAAGTTTTTTTCTAATATTCTCCACTATCGTTTCAAAATAAGACTATTTCCATGTCGCGACACAGAACAGTAATAATGAATAAAATGTTGAAATGTGTGACTGATGGAAATTAGTGCTGTGATTTGGTGGGGTTATTAACAATCAGGATGGTTTGGTGCATGCTACATCAAATGAATCTGTTAACAGTTACGCCAAGACAAAATATTTACATATTGTATACATTAAACAGTTCAAATCAAATAAGATATTTAAAATCGACAAGTTTTTCTGAAACGAAATATCAAGAACTAGTAATAAAATAAAAAGCATCAAGTGTTATATAATAAAAAATTAGCCGGCATGCAGGTGCACGTTGTATAAATAAATCTATAATCTGAGTGAAGTTCTACACTTGGAACACCAAAACAACGAGCACAGTGCCACCTAGTGGTTATAGAAAATCCTCTCCCAAATTCCTCTCAACAATGAAACTTCACTTTACTTTTTTCCACCGAATGCAGTTCCCAGTGTTGTGAACCAGTTTCTATTAGTAAAACAATAAAGACAACAGGCTATAATAAAAATTTTAATTACAAAATATTTTATAACATTTTTTTAAGAACCATTATGTACAACTTTAAAAAGTGAATAGCAAAAATGAAAATATGATTTTTATTACACTACAAAGTACACAGTTCAAAACTGGAAAGTACTTTGATTGTCAGGAGCATGGAAGACACAGTGGTCCGGGTTGGCCTCAGGAATCCCAAACTCGTCCTCATTCTGGAAGATAAAGAGAACCAGGAGAAAAAATGTGTTTCAAGATTTCAGGTTTCACGGATTTCAGGAACTTCTGGAAATAAAACTCCAGATAGAGGGTTGAAAATGTGACAAGCACACAGGTGTAGTGTCTAATCTTCACTAGTAAGATTAAAGTTTATCTAAAACTAAAAATTGGAAAACTGAAAATCTGTAATAAAAAAATAAATCAACCATAAGTTAAACATTTGCAAAAATGGTGAATTTTGATCACTGATAAGTTTTTTTTTCCTACCAAAAATTGGATTAATATACTGAAAGTAAATCACATAGATAATCTGAATTATTTAAAAAAAATACCTGACCAGAGAAGAATCTGTCAATAATGGTGTTGGAGTACTTATAAACAGACTCATTGCTGTGGAACTGCAGTGCTTCAATCTTTTCCAAATCGCCCAACTTCTCAATCATCAGACACACTTTCTCACCTTCACCAACGCTTTCTGCCATCTGTACAAAACAGGAAGACACAAATGTAAGAGCAACAGTTTTAATGATCCTCCAGCAGCATCTGGGTTCACACCTGTAATATATTGCTGATTGCTTCCAGGATGATCAAGATAATCGTGTCGTCTTTGACCGTCAGTAGATTGAAGAGAGGCCCGAGTACATTGCAGCGGTAAAGGTAAGACACTTGATTCAATGTCCCAACCTTGGTTAAGTTGATGACAGCCCAAACAGCCTCCAGCTGTGTCTTATAATCTGCCTAAACACGGAGCACAGAGATTTTAGTCAATGAAGGATGTGCTCTAAGAAAGAAACACATCAGCAGCAAAATGTGATTTTCCATCTCCTCTTATTCTGACCTGCTGGAGGATCTGTACCAGCAAGGGGATCAGGCCTGCATCGATGACTTCCTGAATCTGGGTTGCTTTGCCTGAAGTGATGTTGGACACAGCCCAGGCCGCTTCTTTCTGGATGTTGGACTTGCGATGGCAGAGCAGAGCAGGGAACACTGCCAGGGCACCTGCGTTAAGAACACACTGAGTCTGCTCATTTGTCCCGGTCACGATGTTACCAAGTGATCTGAGAGCGGGAGCCTGCGAAGAGAAGAAGAGCAAGTTGATTATGTGGGCATTTGAAACTCAGCCACCATGCATGAGGCAGCAGTTAAATGAGCATTAAAAGCACAAATACTAAGATGTGGCCATCTTCAGCTTCAAAATAAAAACAAACAATAAGAGGCTGAAATATTATTAGTAGCATGAAACAGAAACTGGTATTAATGTCATAAATAAACAAAATGAAGACATTAAATCTGTTTCCTAGCATCTGCAAATATGCTGTGATGCATCTTTGAAGTCAATCTATCAAAGCTTTATTTATAAAGTGCTTTTCATACAAAGATTGCAGCTCAAAGCGCTTGGGATTCAGTCTCAGACATTTGTGCATCTAATCTTGAGTCAACGTACCAGAATAGAGTGTTCCCCACAGGAGAGGAGCTGTACGAGTCTGGGAACCAAGCCAGTCTGCACCACCACCTCTATCCTCTCGTTGGACCCACTGGTCAGGTAGGACACAGCCCAGCAGGCGCCGGACAGGACCTCCTTGTCATTATGGTGGAGGAGCCTCACCAGGGCAGGAAGCATCCGCTTCACTGCCTCTAAGGGAGGGGGGCGATCCGTGTGTCGACACAGGTTGGAAAGTGTCCAGGTGATGTTGCGTATAAAGGCAAGCTTAACAAAAAAAGTTATACATTAGAAACAAAGGCCCATAATACAATGAATAGAAATATTATGTTAAAAACTAATTCACTCCCATTCCTACAAAGACCTAATGCTTCTTAAACTGCATACTAATCTTTCATCAGTAATAAATAACAACTTTTTCACCCACAAAGAATGATAGATGTAAACTACAGCCTGTGTGAGACTTAAGTTTGCTTTACGACATAATCAACATGAAAAAGATTAAAATATTAAAGTGTGTGCATACATGAACATCTGAGACACTTACAGGAAATGTTGACAGGTCTGGAGATTCGACCAAGGCCACGACAAAGCCGTGTCCACCATGTTTGATCACCAAATCTCTGCAGTCGGGTCCATCGCCTACATTATTTAAAAAAAAAAAATTCTATTTATTTCTTATTAGCATGAAATAACAGATTAAATAAAGATGCACGACCACTTGTTTAGAACTATAGTCGGATAATTGAGGTGGTCATCGTTACACTCAGTAGACAAGAACTCAGCAAGAACTGATCATACTTTACTTAAAAGGAAATTCCACCCCAAAGTGAAATGTAGACTGTTGCCATATTATCTAGCGTTAGATAGATGGGAAAATGTAAAAATCCCAGTCATTCTCCTAATCTGGCAGTATTCTGTTAGCTTTAGCATAGCATAAACAATGTAAGTGAATAGTAACAGCTAGCATTTCTTATGATTTTGTTTGGATGAAATTTTTTGCATCATGCTTTGTGACTCCTTTTCATGGCTTGTTTATACTTGTCTGTTTTACTCTCTGTTCAGCACTTTGATCAGTTGTCATGCTGTTTTAAAAGGTACTCTTAGAATATATAGGATTGGAATGATGGTCAGGATGACTCCTGAATGCCTCCCTGGTGGTTTTCCTGGCACGTCCAATAGGGAGGAGACCCAAAGGAAGACCCAGAACACGTTGGAGGTACTATCGGCTGACCAGGGAACACCTTGGGATTCCCCCAGAGGCGCTGGCCCAAGAGGCTAGGGGGAGGGAAGTCTGAGTCTCTTCGCTTAGGCTACTGCCCCCGCAACCCGGCTCCGGAGAAGCTGAAGAAAATGGATGGACAGATGGATGGATGGATGGAATGAAGAAGTCATCAAAATGACTCAATAATGATCCAAATTTTTCTTAGTGATAATCAAACTGACTGCAAATGAAAATAACAAGTAACACGAAGGGATTACAGGAGGCTTCTTGGATTGAATTTCTCTCTGGGATTAATAAAGTACTTTTGAATTTGAACATTGTGCAAGGCTCATGAAAATTATGCTGAGACCCTAAAACTTGTTGTTCACTGTTATTAAGGTGAATCATTGTAAATGTTATACAATATAAGATCACCAAGAAAACTTTGGATCATTATTGAGTCATTTTGACTTCTTCATACATAATGATGTTACCATTCACTTGTCTACAGGTCATCCTTTACTCATTCTGCAAAGCAAACTTTGGTCAAAAGGACAATCCTTCCCATCTTAGAGTACAGTGACATCATTTACAGGACTGCTTCCAAAAATCTTCATAAACTTGATGTCATTTATCACTCAGTAATCCGTTTCATCACTGGTGCCCCTTTCACTACTCATCATTGTGATCTGTACTCACTTGTTAACTGGCCATCACTTCATTCCTGCAGGTTGTTATATTGGTTTGAGTTCATATACAAAACAATCATCGGCAGAACCCCGTCATATCTTCACTCATGACTCATCACTCCCAACAACCAGCAGAATCTATGTTCCAGTAACTTAACATCTATGGTTATTCCCAAAGCTCACACCTCCTTTGGCCGCTCCTCATTCCAGTTTGCTGCTTCCAACGACTGGAACGAGCTGCAAAAATCACTAAAGCTCACTACATTTCATTATCTGCCTTCAATAATTCATTGCACTCAACAGTTTCTGATTAATTCTTTTGAGTACTTAAAGATTGTTTTAAGTCTGTTTTGATTGCTTGTACATATTGTAAATGAGAACAGTCTATTGTCTTTATGTCTAATTTTTTTAATAATATTTTTTATCTTGTATTATTTTTTATCCTACCTGTTTTTCTTTGGTGTAAAGCTACCTATATGTCTGCTGCTGCTGCCTCTTGGTCAGATCGTTGTTGTATCATCTGGATAAATAAAGGTTAAATAAAACTTACATCGTTTATGCTACGCTAAAGCTAACAGAATACTGCCACCAGAGTAGGAGAATGACTGGGCTGGTAACAAAATGCTTTTTCCCACTTAGCTAACTCTGGGGAATATGACAACAGTCTAAAGTTCACTTAGGGATGGAACATTCCTTTACGCTGCTGCTATTAGGCATTAGCTTGTTTTGTTTTTAGCTATTTGAACAACAGGCTTAAAGTGTCACTAACACACTTTTCAAATTTAATTAAGCAAACAGCTCCAGATTTTCTTTTTTCTAGCATCCTTGCAAATATTCATATCCCTCTCTTTTCTCAAACATTATTCCACATTCATGCTATGAAATTGGCAAAAGAGATTATGAGTCTTGCCAGTTCACATTACCTGCAATGCTACCCAGGGCCCAAATGGCCTGCTCCCTGATTTTCAGGTATGATGATGAAGCCAGTCTGATGAAGCCCGGAATACCTCCTCCCACCACAACGGCATTCATCTGCGCCGGGTTGCCTGAAGCAATGTTAGTCAGGACCCAAGCTGCCTCAAACTGGATGGGAGGACACTCAAACAGCCCCAGGAAACTAACAAACTTTTGGATCAATCCCGCAGAGATGATGCGGTCAATGGGTGGTTGGTTATCTCTGGAGAGGATTTTTCTGAAAGTGAAAAAGATCACGCAGGATTACTGAATGAAAATATATTTTAAAAACAAAACAATAAACATGCAAAGCATATAAAGCAAATCAACAAATCATAATCTAAACATATGTATGTAGGTAGCTGCTGCTCATGATTTTCAAACTAAAGTATAAACCTCCATAGTTTTTGTGTATGTTTTTGTGACGAAAGCCACAATTTAACACTTCTAAAATAAAAAAAATTGAAATAATAGTTTAAGTAAGAATTAGATTTATTTTCCCTTAAATGTTTGTATTTCTGAAATTTGAGGTAAATGTGTTGTATGCGTTTCATCTTTTAAAGAACAAGTCACCCCCTACCAGATTCTTAAGCCTGGGGCACACCAGGTGCGCCGCACAGTGTCGCGCCTGAAATTTTGAGAAGTCAAGAGGTCACACAGTACGCGCCGCTGAGCGCTTCTTGGAAAGTTGTGCGATAGTTGCAACATCACACAGGACTAGAGAACAGAAAGCAGGAAGTGACTCCTTTGTTTATACGTGATCAGACTTGCCGTCGTGTTTTGTGAGACTCGAATTAGTTAAAAATGGGTAAATACGCTATTTATTTGAACATTTTAAGATCAATAGTACTTCAAAATGGCGGCTGGGTTTGTGCCGTGAAGCCGTTCCGCATCGTATTGTCTGTTGTACCTACTCTACATCGTTGTAAACAGCTGCGGCGCTTGAGATAGAACTGGCGCCTATCTTCTGGGACGTGGTGCGGCGCTCCCCGTGTGCCTACTCTCATTAACTATGATGGCATTAAAATGATGGCACAGGCGCGATGCTGTGCAGTGAGTCTGCCTCCGGTGTGCCCCAGGCTTCACTCCACTCCCACTTCCTGGTTGAAAAATGCAACAAATGCTGTTGCCTAGCAGCCCGAGAGGGCAGAGCCACTAACAAATAAACACACACAAACTCACGACGACATTGTGACATCATAATGTACGAGCCAATGTTATAGTGTAACTCATAGCCAATAGCAATGGAAGATTTAAATTCAAATGCAGAGCAGAGTTTTTACCTGAAGAGGGTACAACACTGACAATTTTAGGCTGAAAATTTAAATTTTAACTAAGATGCACTAAAATACCAAATTATTGACTACACATGTATACAGCACGCTTAGACATTTGCATAATCAGCCAAAAAAAGTTGGTTTGGGGGTGACTTGCTCTTTAATAAAAATGAATGAAGGAGAAATGCCATGCACTGCTGCAGGCTAAACCTCCCAGTGTTACCATAAGGGCAGATATGGTGTGCCATCTCTTTCTAGAGTCTCTGGTGCCACCCCAAAGATAGTTTTCTGGGAGCACCACTGTATATAGGAGCATAATACATCAAGAGCAGAACAGAAATAATTATATAATTTAGCTAAATCTGACACTCAAATTGTTTTTACCTGACCGCTTGTGTTGCCAGAAACTGATCCTCTCGATTCTCACTATTCACACCTGCCAGGATTTCCTGCAAAGGGTATTGCTGAGGCTTTGGAAGCAGAAGGGATTAGTTCTCACTCAGTAAGTCTGGGTTAAAACAGACTTAATGCATTCAGTTAATATTAGTGATTTCATTGTCATGCTGAGCAAAATTCCTTACAACAAAGTTAAAAACGTGGAGATGCCCTTTACATTTAGCGGAGTTAAAATCCAGATCTAAAAGTGAGTTTGTTAGCAACAGCGCCTGACCAACAGTCCGCTGACCTGAGGAGAGGAGGTGGGCTCCTCCTGGAGGGTTTGAACGTGTCTCCTCTCCAGTATCTGATCGTCTTTCTTGGCTTTCCTGAGCTTTACGTGGAACTCCTTTCTCCTGCGCGTCTGCTCCTGCAAACGATCACAATCGTGTATTTATATTCAGTTGTCTAAACTATATTTGTAATTTTCGTTGTTACATTGACTGAACCCTACAGTGGCATTCCTTCCTTTGTTTTTGAACTGGTGGAGTCGGGTTCCCAGTTCGTCGTAGTCGGTTGACGTTTCCATTATGCGAGTAAAACCAACAGACTTTCACGAACGTTACGGACACGATGCCTGATGAACAAAAATGGGAAAAATTAAACCGTTGACTTCCAACCGTTTACATGTTAGCTTGTTAGCAGGCGTTCTAAACATGTAATAAGTCAAATGAGCTGTTTGGACGCTCGGAAACACACAAACCTGTCCAAAGACTCCATCTTTAGGGAAAATAGAAAAGCACCGCAACTAGAAATTACGTTTTAAGTTTACTGTGCAGCAAAACAAGTGCAATGTGCTTACCTTTCGAAGTCCTTGGGAAAATAAAAACACAATCTACGTGACGTGTTGTAAATACCACTGTGGTTTCTGTTTGTTGATTGGTCAGATATAGAAAAGGCTCCACCCTTTTACCGGTAGTTTAAAGGAAACGTGAAAAATATGTCCGGTTTACGGAATGCAGCCGCTCGTCTTACTGTTAGGTTCACGAGCAGTGGTTGTAAAAAACAGAGCTCCGTTTCCGTTCAGTATAAATACACAATGGACTCCACAAAAAGCCAAAGCTCCTCGTCTGATGATGTCTGTGTGAAAACTGATTGTTGCACAAGAATGCCACGTAATGACCCAGTGGCCTAATGGATAAGGCATCAGCCTCCGGAGCTGGGGATTGTGGGTTCGAGTCCCATCTGGGTCGTCTTTCCTTTTCAGCATCAAGTTACGGAGTGAAACTGATGCGCAACAATAGAATTTCTGCGACATGATTTAAGGTGAGCTCACTATTTCGTAACATTTCAGGTAATTTTCCTGGAAGAACAACCTACAAACAAAAGATCATAGGAATATAAACTGGTTTTGTCTGTGATTTCTATAGTGTTGAGTGGAAGTTTCTATAGATTGATGAAGGATCATACAGTAGGATAATGCTGCTTGTTTTGAAGTGTGTGTGTGTGTGTGTGTGTGTGTGTGTGTGTGTGTGTGTGTGTGTGTGTGTGTGTGTGTGTGTGTAGCAGTAGTAGTAGATTGAAACACAACTACACGATTATTTTGCTATTTTCCCAAAAATCAACAACTAAAATAAAATAATTCAAACTGTGAGAAAAAAGTAACTTTTCAAATATTCACCAGCATTCCTTTACCCATTTTATCTCAACGGGTTTTGGTTTCAATCAAGCAATGATGATTTGAGAGAATAAATCAATTAAGATTTAACTTATTCAGAATTTTTTTTTTTTTTTTTTTGCAATTAATGTCTGTGCTTATGTTTTATTTTTAGACCATCGGAGGGCAGTATAGAGCCATTTCTCGCACAAACGTTCAAGTATAATTTATACACAAACGGGGAATAAAATCATTTTAAAAACGTTTTAAAGTTGTGTGACTTTTAAAGTAATATTTTAAATAAAATTTCTGAATAGTCATCAGAGAATCCCCGAGATCCTGTTCATAAAAAATCCCACTAGTTGTAGTTTTTGAATCCGAATATGAATGAAAGGAGTGTCACATGGAGGTGTTTATTTCTATGCCTGGGACGTCCCACCTCCTCTCTCCTCCTCTTCTTCTTCTCCCTTTCCAGCTCCAATCATCCCTCCCTGAGCAGCCCTATAAAAATCCCAGGAATCCCAACTCTGAATCAAACCATCTAACTCGGAGCATCCAGCATGACAGGGATTACACTGATTCTTTTGTTTCTGCTCTTTCCTCTTTGTGTCACAGAGGAGCATGTTGTTAACGGTGAGTGGGACTGATCTGACTTATTTTCCATCACGCGTCATGAGACGATGCTTTGTCAAAACTGTTTTTACGGACAAAATTCCTCACTGTTGCGACTAAGACTTTTTTTCTTTGCAAAGCTTTAAATTGAGTATTTTTTTCTTTATATGTTTTCTCAAAATTTAAGCTAATATTTTCCATCATAAATATAACAACATAATGTTTTCTGCTTCATCCACAGAGCTGTACACCCTCATAGAAAAAGATCAGGGCAGCGTAGCGGATCCTGCCCAGAACAACCAGACCAGGCTGGTGGTCAAAGAGCCCTCCCTGCCCATCAATGAGCTACTAGAGAAAAGCAGCAGGACGAGTGAGTCCAAACTCAACTTCCACCCTTTACCTTCTGCTGTGTGGCCAAAACACAGCAACCTCACCCCCATCCTTCGCCACCACAACAAAAGGAAAAAGGGACACAAGAGCGACCGTTTGATGGAGCACAACAGTGAGAAAAGCACTGGGGAGGCCGGCGGCTTGCTCCCCAAAACCCAGCTGACAGGAGCTACAAGTTTCAGCACCAATCGCACGTCGCAGAAACACCATCAGGACACCCAGACCAGCATCAGCCCGCCTCAGCAGAGCGAGACAGAAGGAAACGCCAACTCCAAACCCAGAGCTCCCAGCCAAACACAGACGCTGCAAACAGCTGTTTCTCCACACAGAGAGCTCCCCAACAGGAGGCAGGACCCGGAGGAGAACCGACCAGGGAAGTCCGGCCTCTACCAGTCTGGAATCAGTGCAGCAACCTGGAACAACAGCCGCCCACCAGTCCACTTCAACCGGCGTTCCTCCAGCCTGCTTTACCTGTTTGACGTCCTTAGACGAGGTACGGATGGAGTGTCTCCCGACCCTCAGATCTGACCTGAGCATTAACGCAGAGTTGGACACACATCTAGCACAAGGATCTTTACCAAGCTGCTTTTCTTATGGGAATTCAGGAATGCTCTGAAGTTAGAGCTGACATGTTTGTCCTCTTCTCTGCAGAGTCCGACTACACGCATGATGCTTTCTGCTTGAGCGAGTGCAGGAAGGAGAAGGATGAGAAGGAATATTACTGCTTCAGTGAGTTTGGTAGGTCAAACAGTGACAGAGCCCGTCAAATGCACACTAATGGAGATTAAATGTGGGATTGGCCAAGAGCTCTGAAAAGGCCTTTCCTCTAAACAAACATTTCCAAATCAAACATCCTAATAACTAACACATTAGTTTACTGATTTTTACTTGTATTCATTTTCACGATTCTTAATATCTTAAACATTTTTTAATGGCACAAAACAAGGCCTAAAGAAGCTGGAGTGATGAAACACTGAACCAACTCGGGCCAAGCACGATGCGTTTTGGGCGTAGACCTTACATTTAGCTCTAACAAGCTTTAGGGTAGTGGGATGTCCTCTCTAAGCCAAGCAATTTATTCATTAGAACAAATGAATAATCATTGCATCTCCTTTTTAAACAGCTGTCAACGGGATCATCCACGACATTGACATTTTGCGTAAAGGAGTGCGGCTCGTAACACTGATGGTCAGCAGCGACGGCTTCTACAAGATGAGTCGTCTGTATGTGACCCCAGAGACCTTCTTTTTTAAAGTCCGTCTGCTTGTCTTGGACACCTACAAGTGCAGCAAACCCTGTCCTGATATCAAGCTCGGTGAGTAAAGTTTTCTAAAAGCCAAGAGATGGGAAAACAAGATTTGAAAGCGGAAGGTCTTAGAGCAGACATGTCTAGAGTGTGGCCTGTGAGCTATTTGCGGCCCCAGTTTCCTTTTCTACAATGATTCTTCTAGTCTCTGCAGTAGACTGTTGATTCAGTTCAGTTCAGTTCAGTTTATTTATATAGCACCAAATCATCACCAGACTCGTCTCAAGGCACTTCACAGAGTAAACATTCCAACTGAGTTCAGTTCATTATGCCTATCAATTAAAAGTTCCAGATCTAAGGAAACCCGGCAGACTGCATCGAGTCACTGACTTGTGTCAGAGACTTTACAGCAATCCTCATACTAAACAAGCATGTAGCGACAGTGGAGAGGAAAACTCCCCCTTAACAGGAGCAATCCTCATGCTAAACAAGCATGTAGCAACAGTGGAGAGGAAAACTCCCCCTTAACAGGAAGAAACCTCCAACAGAACCTGGATCAGTATGAGCAGCACTCCGCTATGACTCACTGGGGGGTTGAGAAGGCACACACACACACACACACACACACACACACACACACACACACACACACACACACACACACACACACACACACACACACACCGAATAGTGTTTCTATGGCTGCATACGTTGTGATTTCTTAGTAGAGATTCTATTTCCTAACAAAATAAACGTCGTTGTCTGTTTCTGAATGAGTCTGTAATTTATTCAACTAGGTGATCTAGCAGTAGCACATTCTGTGTAAAGAAAGTAAAAAGTTTGAGGCTTTCTAACATTTTTATGTTAAAAATTTTCCTATAAGGCCTATTTTAGACCAGAAGATAAATAATGGTAAATGGCCTGTATTTGATTTAGCGCCTTCTAGAGTCCTGGAATCCCCCAAGGCGCTTTACAACTCAATCAGCATTCATCCATTCACACACACATTCACACTCTGGTAGGGATGAGCTACGGTATAGCCACAGCTGCCCTGGGGCACGCTCACAGAGGCGAGGCTGCCGAGCACTGGCGCCGCCGGTCCCTCCGACCACCACCGGCAGGAAAGGCAGATAAAAATACTATAAAACTAGTTTAGCATTCTTTAAATGGTAAATAATCACTTTTTTGTGGTCTGGGAGGTATTTTAACATGGCGATCTTAGACCTTGTTCTAAAAAAAAATTGGACAACAATGTCTTAGAGCATTCCCAAAACACAAACAAACCCATCTGGATTTGATCCGGTTTACTACCTTGTGAATCATGATAGGTAAATGTAAATTGTCTGTGCAACCTGGAACAGCAGTGAAAATGCACTTCTAGAATGAAACCAATAAACAGGTCATTTAGTTTTTGTTCATACCTCACAGGAAGGACATTTTTTAGCATCATTTTGACAGTAATAAAGCCCCCAAAACAACGAAGAAAGCATAATTTATAAACTTTGAGAAAATAGTCCCAAAGTTAATTAGTACAACTGTAATAACAAAGGAACCAACCATAGTCTGGTTTGGGCCAGAAAACATGCAATTACATGCAGCAACAGGACAGAATGACCTGGGCTGTGTAGAATGTGGTAAAACACATCATCCAATTTAATTTTCCATGACAAAAACCGCGTGGTTGAACTTTGGACCAGCTTCAGTAGAAAACTAAAAGGTTGCAAAGCATTTTTGTGTTAAGTTTTACTGTGATTTTGATATTTCTTTGTGGTTGAAAAGTGGTGTTAATCAGACACACCATCATTTAATTCACTGTAACATTAAACACCTCGAAACTTTCTGAGGAACAGTAAAGAGATCAGAAAAGCATCTCAGGAGGTCCGGGGTTTAATTACGACAAACAACATCGTTTCACCGGTTAGGAATCCCATGACAAGCTAACACCATGTTATTTTTTTGGAGTGTGTGGGAATTCCTATTTGTTTTCCCTGAGACCGACATGTTTAGAAAAACCATCAAAATTGTTCAGTGTTTATCAGTCACCTCAACACCCTCTCTGTTTGCTGCCAAGGGACCAGATACATCGTAATGGGTCAGATCTACCACCGGAGGCGACCCCTTCCCAGTGACCTCTTGACCCTGTTGGGTGGCAAACTGAAGCCTGGAGACGGACTCCTGCAAAGCAACAACTACGTGAAGAGGTTCAACAAACGAAGACACCAGAAAGCTCTGGAGGCCACGCGCTCCAGGTGCAGATGAAGCTGCACATAAAATTCTGCCCCCTGCTGCAGGGGAAGAGACTTTGCAGCTGACGTCAACCAATCCCAACTAACTCAACAATATTGGTCAAGAGAGAGAACCATAACAAGACATGGATGTGTTGTCGAATGGACTTTTCCCACATATCATCATATCAGATCTTCGTAACTAACGGAGGCGGGTTTTTTTTTTTTGGCGTAAGCAGATGTAACCAGCAGCTGGATGGCTCACATCATTTTTGGGATATTTGGGACTCCTACCCCTTTGCTGACTCTTCATGCATTCATGTCTGGTTCATGAAGTCCCACATTTGAAACTCTATCACAATCACTCACTTTGGGGGTAAATCTAGAGCAGTGGTTCCCAAAGCTGGGGTCGGAGCCCCGATGTGGGTCACTAAGTAATACACAAGGGTCTTCTGGAGTAATTTACAAAAATAAATATAAAAGTAGAATATTTTTCACATAGTTGTTACAAAAACTCAACTAAATTGTTATAAATATATTCAAGTAAACATGAGTTGAAGTATTTTTCTTTTTGCACGGGATTGTTTTGCTATTTAAACGTGTTTGTAGCGTTAAATTAGAGATATCTGGGTTGCGAGTGTTGACAGTTGCTGTTTTGTGGGTCTGACACTGAGAAGTTTGGGAACCACTGATCCAGAGCATGCATTTGACCAATTTACAGAATGGAAACATGACATTATTGTCTTCACATTTGGACTTTAGGAAATAAATAGCGTTTTCTTTATTATGACAATGAACACTTGCATGGGGCGTGTTTGGTTCACTGCTTGAGTCTAAAACGTAGAGCATCTTCTAAAAGATGTTTTACTTTTCTCCTTTTTACAGGGGTGCAAATTCTTCTACAATCTGTCATATTTCTGTAAATATTCCCCAAACATGTCATCTCGAATGTGTCTTTGAGTCAACGACAAACCCAGAACAAGATGGGCTTTTAAACAATGTATTGTAATAAAGAAAAGAATATACGTTTACGGTTTGGTGGATGATGTCAATGTGCGAGAGAATTTCAAAGCAGCTGTAAATCACCGTGAAAGATGACGAGGAGTCGTGAGAAACAGGGAGAAGAAGTCAGATGAGAATGGATCTCTAACTTTAATTATGTTTCCATGATGAAACGTGTACAGAACTTCTTAAAAACGGACAGACTGAATGAGGAGGAACATCTCCTTTGTGTTGTTTTTGTTGGATTAAGCCAGGAATCTGCTCCTTGACACACCTGGACCGTCGGAAACATAACTTATTCCTTAGTTAGTGCTCGCTATTTAACCACTGAACTCTTAATTGCTTCACTAAGTGTAACATGAAATAAAGAAATGGGTTTGTACTCGGTTGTCCTGAAATAAATTTGTGTTTATCTATCTTCTCTCACACATCCATCTGATCTTTATCATTTCCAGTCACTTCATAAGAAGATGTCCCCAGAAGTAAGACACTATTAAAGTTTAACACACATATCTTCCTCCTGGCCTGCAGGCAGCCTGCGTTGAACCTCACCTCTCCCCCCTCAGTTCTGGTCAGTTCCCAAGCTCGCTGAATTCTCTATCTTCAATCTGTGCTGGAGGGAGCAGATGCATGTGGGCAGGAAACGGGAGCCTGCTTCACATTGCGGCTACTATCGCAGCGGGAGGACATTCCTCACCACAGAGGATGTAAAGGAGGGTGGGGGTGTGTGGAGTAGGTGGGAATATCTCCGAGCTGCTTCCTGTGTGAAAGCTCCCAAACGGCTGTGGGCTTGTGGTCATCTGTGGGGCTCTCAGCCTCCACAAGAGTTTCTGGATTCATTTAGTGGTTTTTCGGGTGGGGAGATGGAGAAGAAGAGGTCGTTGATGGGGAAGGGGGGTGGTATCAAAGCTGGCGGATGGCTGTAGGTGTCATTTTGGAGCCTAGTTGGGTGTGTGCAAATGTCACGACCCTGTTTCTTGGTGTTTATCTTTCTACTTGATTGTTTTTCAGAAGAAGGTTGGACCTGTGGAGCAGCATCAAAACTGAATTACTGATCTCTGACCAGCAGTTAGCAAGGGTCCACTTGGAACTAATGTCCCTGCATCTGAAAGAGCCTGGGAGATGAAAAATGCTCCTTTAAGTCAACAAAAATGGATCAAGTCAAATGTATATGTATAAATACATATTTACATATTCTATAAACAGTCTGAACAATGCCTATCAGCAGTCACAGCTGTCTAGAAGATAACTTCCTTCAGTTAAACTCTGAAAAAACAGAAGATCTGATCATTGCCCCTGAGAGCATGGTTCTTCTGATTAGTCAACAAGTTGGTCATTTAACTTTTGCCAACAAGTCAAACTTGAGTAATTTAGGTGTAGTTTTTGACCAATCAATGTCTTCAGAAGGCCACTCAAATCATTGGTGCAAAACAAATTTGTTTTTTAGAAGTATCTCCAAGCAACGAAGGTTGGTGCAAAACATGAACTTGAAATGGTTATCCATGCCTTTATCTCCTCCCGCCTAGATTACTGTAACACACTTCACGTAAAAAAAAAAGAAAAAAAAAGCCCTCGACAGCCTTCAGGTGGTCCTGAACTCTGCAGCGAGGCTCCTAACTGGAGCAAACCGAAGAGCTCACATCACTCCTACTCTGATGTCTCTGCACTGGTTACCCATTAACTTTAGAATCCTGACTACAACTTTCAGGGCTCTACATGGTCAAGCTCCTCCCTATGTTACTGAACTGTTAAAGCTTTATGCTTCAGCCTGAACCCAATAAACTAGAATCTCATGTGTTTTACTGTAGAGAATTCCTGTTTGGTTTCACATCTTCATCATCATAATCAGTTCATTTATTGATCACTTTCCAGCAGACTCCAAAGTGTTGTACACAGCAGACATAAGAGAGCAAGACAACCAATGCATTTACAATCCAAAGTTAAGGAATTAAAATATATCTTCGGTCTTTATTTGAAAACATGAGGGAAGGCTTTTCAGATGCTCAATGGCAAAGCAGTCCAAAATCCAAGACCTGCCACCAAAATACCTCAACCCGAAGGTCTTTGCCTCATTCAAGCTTAGAAAGTTCACTGCAGCATTAAGCAGTCCAAAGTTTTTTTTCCCCAAGAGAGTTGAGAAACAAATGTGACAGTCCTCAGCATAGAGGTGGAACTTAACTTTTTGAATACAAAAAAGTGCTTCAAGGGATGATAAGTAAATCAAGAAAATTAGGGGACAAAGGATGTAACCTTGTGGAACCCTTCTAGCTGAGGGACACCCTTTCTGAGGAAAAGTCTGCTAACTCTGCTGTAAGGTAAGCTATGTCTTTAACCCGTGTTTAAATGCATGTTTGTCTGTAGTACTAGCACCATGCGTAACTGAGGATGGGGTTTAATTAAATGTCAAAAATCATCTTTGGATTGGATTTCCATCAATAATCATTAACTTTTGGATCCAACCCCATTCACGGTGGCCACCAGAGCCAACCAATGACAGCCAACAGAAACATGGCTTTAAGATTTAAATTTGGATCAGAAGCCAAGTCATTCCCATCACTAACCCTTAACAGATACTGATTTCAAAAGATCTTAGTCAACCCTGTTTTTTCACAAAGTATCTAATAACAATCTGGCATATTTTACTGAAACTCTTAAAACCTTTAATGTACATCTACCAGTCAACATAATGCATCCCTTTCTGTTTTCGTTAACCTTTTGATGAAAAAACTGCAACTAAACCATAAAATTGCTCTAGAATGATCAAATGTGTGTATTTATTACATTATTCTTACTTTAAAGGCCATTTAAAAAACACTTTTTTATACTTTAGCCACTTGGATTTATTTTTGAAATATTCTGTATTTTGCACCTTCAGTTACTTTTTAACAGAGGTGTGACCAAGTCACTGCTTTGCAAGTCACAAGTCTTTCCAGTCAAGTCCAAGTCAAAGACAACTAAGTCCAAGTCAAGTCCAAAGTCAATAAGGTGGAAGTCCAAGTCTTTAACTTAGAATTTTCAAATCATAATCAAGTCATCTGTCCAACTTCAATTTAATGACAATGATAATAAATAAATTCCAGAAATAAAGCTTCTTAAAGCTTCATTTATTTTCCCAAACAAGCAGGAAGTGCAGCTGAAACTGATTATAAACAAAGTGCTGCTGCAGTTAGCAGTGCAAGATCGAACCCAGAACGAAGAATGATTTTGTCCATGTCGTGCCACTTTTGTGCTAAAACATCAAATATGCTCAAGTCATCATCAGCAGATGCAAGACGATTCAAGTCGCAAGTCACTGGCGTTCAAGTCCAAGTCAAGTTGTAGGTCTTTATAGATGTTATCAAGTCAAGTCAGAAGTTATTAAAATAATGACTCGAGTCCAAGTCCACACCTCTGCTTTATAAATCATTAACAGTTTGTAACTCACTAAATATTTGCAATATTCACACGGGAGTCAAAAACAAGAGCAACAAACTTGACGTATCCAGTTGTGGTAGAAAAAACATCGGAAAACAAGTCATTCAAAACATTATTTTATTATCCAAGATGAAACGTCCTATCAAGTACAAAAAGAGAATCTCTTCAGAGTGGCCACAATCCGTTAAAAACATAGTGCTTTTTATTTTAAATCTTCAGTTACATTTTTCAACATCCTACTTTAAAAACAGGAAAATTAAAACAAACCTTTTCATCAATATGAATAAATAATACAAGAAATGCAATGTCAGTTATACTGAACTACAATTTTTACCAAAAAAAAAAACTGTACAAACTATGTCACTCCACCTGGTTGAAATCCATTATGCTCACAATGTGCAGCACGTATCATATAAAGGTCAGTTTCACCAAAATGTAGAGTCTGTGTCAATCAAGGAGAAAAATAACAGTTCAAATATACAGGACTTAGTCGCTGGTTTAAATAGAGAAAATAAAAGCTTCTATTCCTCTAAAAGTCTTTTATCTCTACATTTTTGGACAGCAGTTTTATACAATGATTACAGACAGTGAGAAAAGCACATCGTTGTGATACAAAGTGACAAAGAGAAGAAGACGGACGCTCCATCTCAACTCTGCTTCCTCAGTTAAAGAGCAAGTCACCCCCAAATCACATTTTTTTTTGCTGATAAACTATATAAACGAGTGTCTAATCGTGCTGCAGACACGTGTCGTCAATAATTTGGCACTTCAGTGCATCTTAGTTAAAATTCAAATATTCTGCCTAAAACTGTCAGTGTTGCGCCGTCGTCAGGGAAAAATTCTGTACTGTATTTGAATTTAAATCTGCCACCGCTATTGGCTAAGAGGTATGCTATGATGTCATCTGGTACATTATGATGTCACAATGCCATTGTGAGCCTGTGTGTGTGTGTATTTGTTAGCGGCTCCGCCCTCTCGGTCTGCCAAGCAACAGCATTTGTTGCATTTTTCAAACATGAAGTGGGAGTGAAGTAAGTTTCTTGTAGGGGGTGACTTGCTCTTTAAAATGTAAGTTTTTGGGTTAAAACTAAAACTTTTCACACATGAACCTTAGAGACGACCCTGTCCACTTGCAGATTCTTTTTTTCCTACAAAACGGATCAATTCCAGCAAAAAGTGTTCTGAGATACGCCTGAAAAATGCAGCTATAAATTTTTTTTTTCATACAAACCTCCACAGTACAAAGAATCTACAGTTCCCAGTCAGGCCGCCGCAGACCGCAACATAACTGAGTCGATAAGTTCATTATCCAATTACCGAACCACGCTCTGGGATGGAGCTGAGAGACGTATGAGCCAACCTGTCAACTTCAGCGCTGGAAGAAAGACGAGGAGACTTCCAAAATGAGGAAAAGACACAAAACCAGGATGAGACGGTGCAGAAATCACCATCAGCCTCTCATCTGGGAAAAGGCCAATTTTACTTGCATGAGGAAAAAGGTTAAAACAGAAGACCAGACGAAGGGTGGGATAATCTATCCAGTGTGGTTTTCCCCACTGGAAATGAACATGAAAGCATTTCAGACAAAAAAAACCCTTACATTACAGGTTTGGTTTGAGATTCAGGTTTAGTTCACCACACCTGAGAGGTGAGTATACCACTGATCCAACACTGACCGAATAAGCTCGTTATTTCAGGTTTTTATTTGACAGAAAGCTACGGTCATTGGGTAACTGAGGGAGTAGAGGAAAAGCTGCACCTACGAATGAAATCCAACCAACGTTGAGTGGGAAGAACAGACCACATCATGTAGAAATGAATCCCACAGACGCCTGCTGAGAGGTTAAACTGCCAGCTTTGTTACTCCTCTTATCTCCATCTTTCTTCTCACGGAGGGGTTACATTTGTAGGAAGGGCTGGTCGGGACGAACAAGCAGCAACAGCTGCCCCGGTCCTGGTCTGAAGGAGGAAAGAGGCTTCACTTCTTTACCCCTTTGAGTCGGTGGAAAGGAGGACGCTTTTGACTCCGCCCCCCTCCTCCAGAGAGAACGGACTTGGACTACAGGTCCAAATTAATCAATGTGTCTTTTTGACACCTAAGAGGCAGCTGACTGCAGCTTGTTGTTATGAGACCTGAAGAAACAAGCAAAAAGATTTGTCGGTCTTCTCGTTTTCCTTTTATTATTAAAATCTTTACAATATATGACAAAAACACGACTAAGGAAGGATACAAAACAAACAAGAATTGGATGCCAGTGGGTCAGACACTTTGATGGAGACAAAGCAGCCATGTTGGTTGTAAATGTCACTGAAATGAGTGTTTGTCTAACATGGAGACAGCCGAGGACAAACGGGCTAACCTAGCATTTCCTCCAGTCTAGAACTTTACAACTTCTACCATTATTTTCCTTTAGAACATAAAAAAATAGTCCTTCACAGAAAAAATATCAACATAAACAACACTGTACATGGGTAGCTGATGAAAGAAAGTATCGCTGAATGCTTTTAGTTGTTGAGGTAAGAACGTCCCGGCGCAGCGAGCTATGACCATAAAAACAACAGCTGTGTCAAATTAGCCTTGAATATAAATTATATGTGAAAAATCAGATTTTACAACCAAAAACAGCTTATTTGTTGTAAAAGTGAAGTCTGAAGAAAGAGGACTTTGCAAAAAACTTTACATTTTGCTTCGTATTCAATTAAAATGTCATCTAGTGTGTAAAAAAATACATTTTCCCTTGGATGTGCTACCAACATGGCTGCAGTTATTAAACAGTAGAAACTTTTTTTCCTTTAATCCGTTTTAAAATAAAAAAGAATCAGCACACCTAACGTGCGGCCTATTATAAGCACTTTCTTACAAAAGTTTTTAATGCTGTTTGAAACAAGTAAAAACAGCCAGATCCAGGATAGAAAACTAAGTTTTGTTTAAGAGTGACCCCGGCACCCAGGAGTTTGACATCACAATCTGCAAGAGAGAGAAAGAAAGAATGGATGGGAGTCAATACATGCAGGTGGAGCACATCACTGTTTAGAGCACACAGAGGCTGGAATGACCACAGACAGCAGCTGCTCTACCACGACTACTACAGTCGTCTGTCGTTCATTATCTGTCCCTCACTCGTTCACGAGTTTGCAACTGAGAGGCTCATTCGCCCGGCTCCTGCAACAGCGAAAAGGAGTTGACCGAAATAACACTACGTGGACTCGAATGTGAAACTTCTCTTTAAAGGTGCAGTGTGTAATAATGGGGTAATAGTGACATCCTGTGGTCAAATTTGGTTACTGCAATCACTCTCTCACTCCTGCTCCGTTAGTGTCATGGCTGTTGCCGGTTACAGATCAGCACCAGAAGACTCTAGATAAAAAGCAAAGACGAGTCATACACAGTCAGTTGATAAACACATCGTAGGGAGCATTTACTGCACTTATTGCGGTAGTGTGCCTCCGGCATAAAGGAAGTGCTGTTAGCTTGCCGTATTGCTCTCTGAATGCCTCATTTAAGGAAGTAAAACATCATGGCTGACTCAATATTCACCGAAATTGAGATTCATTACCAACTGTAGAGCCACTACACACCACTGTGAATTATAATCACGAGTGAAATGGCCATCACTGGCCACTAGAAGACAAAATCGTTAGTATGTTTTTGTTTACAAAGCAATGCTTGGAACATTACCTCCTTATATTCGCACATTAATCACATCGAAAAGTGTTAATTCTCATTCTTTAAGGTCCAAGGATCAATTGCTGCTCTCTGTCCCATTTGTATGAACAGAGTTAGGAAAGAAAGCTTTTGTTTATTCTGCCCCCTCTACCTGGAACCAACTACAGAAAAACTGGTAATTAACGGAACTGGATTCACTGCATGCATTCAAAAGCAAGCTGAAAGCCTCACTCCGGTTTCACACTGCAAGCATCAGCGGAGCGGCTCACTCGCCAACTTCAAAGCGGTCCTTTTCACACCGGGAGAGTCTTGGCTGCGCTGTACTCGCGAGATTCTAAAATCCCTCGAGACTTCCAACACCTTCCCCATCGAGAGATCACAACCCCTGCGAGGAATCACACTGTTGCACTTCTCGAAATAAACTGGTGGTAAACAAAGCCGTTCGGTCACAGGTGCTGACGTAAGTTATATAGAACATCGCAACATTTTATTTTAAAAATAACTGGGGATTTTACACTGAAACCGTGTGTGGTTTCCTGTCTCGCACTATGTGAACTGCGGAAATTGACGTGTCCCAGAAGCGGCTCGTGGAAAAAATAGAACTCGATCCCATCTTTAACGGCGCGGCGCGGCGCAGCATGCCGCGTCGCGGCTGGTTTGGAACACTCCATAGACTATGAATGGATTCTATTTGAAGCGGTGCCGCTTCGCTGCCGTTCCGTTCCGCTGATGCTTGCAGTGTGAAACCGGGGTCAGAGACAGCATCAGTAATTTGTAACTGCTTTGAATGAATGTATTGCCTTATCATTGTTTTCATGTTGTAACTGTATGTTTGTTTGCTGCCTCTTGGCCAGGACACCCTCGTAAACGAGGTTTTTAATCTCAGTGGGTTTTATCCTGGTTAAATAAAGATTAAAAAAAAATATTCAATTCACACATACATTTCACTGTAATATGGTGTTTTTGGAAAATGAAAAAGTACCTTGATATAAATTTAGAGCTGACCATTTGGTTCTAATTCACCATTAGCAGTTAGCTAAATGTGGTCCGTTAGCCTTCTTTACCCGATATTACAGTAAAACAAAAAGATGCCGTGGCTTCTTAGAGGTACAAGAAATAACTTTTGAGTCGCTCTTGTTACTGGTTTCGGGTCTTTGCAGGCCATAGTCAAAACAGAAATACCAGTGCTGCAGCGTTAGCTCGCAGGAGACACGGCAACCCCACACTCACTTTATTATGAAAGGAGTAAAACTGACGAATCCTGCAGCCGGCTGAGAATAAAATCTATTTCGGTACAACCTTCCTTCCAACATGATTGAGACATTAGGCTGTTTTGGGATTATTTCACTGTAGAAGTCTTACTTTATTTATACACACCACACCTTTAAAAACATTACTTTTTTATGACGGCACAAATTATTTCATAGTTACGGTAAATAAAAATAAGCATTAAAGATGTGTCAGTGTTTGGCGTTACAACCGTGAAAAAGTTCTGGAAAAAATCGGCACGCTTGTTTCTACTTAACACATCTGAGTCTTACCTTTCATTTTTAGATTAATAACTTTTACTGTTTTGAGGCTGTGACATCACTTCCTGTCATGTTTGTGAATAATGCGTACATCTGAAGAAAACTGAATCGAATTAAAATCGCAATTTCTGACAAAAGAAAATCACAATTGAAACTTTCCCTGAAAATCGTTCAGCTCTTTTAACGACTGAACAAATTAATTCATAAATACACACGAGACCGAAAGTACAATAACTCTGAATATGCATCATATTACAGGTTAGGGTTTTCTTTAAAACGGATTACGCGTGTGTTGGATGATTGGAAACAAGGACTGTGGAGAAAGATGGACAGGGTAAAAAATACTTCCGTACTTTAGACATAAACACAAGGATTTAGTGTTTTCTAGACAACGAGGTTGATGCTTGCATGAACGTTCAGTCAGGACCCTCAGTTGAAAAGTTCAGAAGAAGCAGAAGGCAATACACAAAATCAATAAAAGGAGGATTCATGTCTAAGTTCTCATGTTCTCAGAGATCATCAACACGATTTCCTTCACCCATCAGGCCTGTTTGCTCCTGATTCTGAGGAATTCCACCAACATCTTACCTGCTGGCTTTGAAGCCTTTGAGCTTCTGGACAAAGAAGTTCTCCAGAACCTCGGCACACTGGTAAAAGGGCGAATCGCTGGGGTTGTAGTATCGGCAGTTGTCGAAGATTTTGGTCATGTCCGCCACAAACTCCGTCAGCTTGACGTACTCTCGTTTGTGTAACCTCTCCTCCATGGTGGACAGGTCTGAGAACAAAGGGTCCCAGGCAGAGTCAGACCCACACATTCAAACGCAACACCATCATGTGCGTGGATGCAGCAGCAGCTGCATATTTGATTTGTTTTCTAATGGGACGATTTTACAAACCAGCGAGCTAGCTTTGAACTTATTCCAGATTGTGTGGTGTCGGCCGGCCGGACGGAACACACTGCGTCACTTTAAATGTGACAGCAAACATCCCAAACCTCTGCCAGAGCTGACCTCCATCGTTTCAGGCTCCCAGATAAGTTAATGACATGCGACCCATTTGTCATTCCTGAGGAGCGCATCGTTTCTCCACAGGAATGTATGAAAACGCGGCAAACGTCAGAGAGGCTGATTCCAGGCTTCGCCAGACCAAGTGAATTAAGTCTGGAACCCAAAACATCACAGGAGGCCGAGTGGAGAGCAGCCGAGGCTTCAAATCTGCTGCTGCCCTGCTCAGCATCCCCAGGGATGTTTCACGTAAACATATCTGACTCTTATCCTCCTCCACCCCCACCCAGCTGGCCAACAACCCGAACAGCCAAAATCAAAGACCTCCTTCTTCTCCATCATCAGATCTCATCTCTAAACCCTCCATAAACTACCCATGGCTGCAACCGCACCAGCCAAACGCTTGTTTTGTTTCTTTTTCCTTTTTTAGGGGTGGGGGTGGGGGGGGGGGGGGGGGGGGGCGAGAGTTTCCAGGACCGGGCCAACACACGGCGAAGTGTGGGGCAGGTCTCTTTCCACTCAGGGAGTCCGGCAGGCCCCGGAGCACCTCATTAATGGTCTGTTTGTGTGGAAGTTCAAAAAGGCTTCGCTGACGCAAGTCACCCTTTACATGGTCAGTTTGATCTGAGCTGGAGGGCTTCCTGTGTGTTTCAGATAGAGAGCAGGAGTGTTGCTACCAAAGCTACAAGTCATCAAAAAAATTATATAAATATAGAAAAACGGTAATAGCAATACGGAAAACTCAAGTAAATCAATATGGTCGTCAACAATCTGTAACATAACTTAACAAGGTAAAAGTAAAGATATTTTAATCTGTAAAATAAAGTAAAAGATGTTTAACATGAAAAAATAAACATTTTATCAACTAGTAATCTTTAAATTAGTTTAAAAAGCACTTTATTACTCCAGATAAAACCCTCACTGTGAAAAAAAAGAAAAGTACTAAAGGATAAAATAATTGCAGAGAAGTTACAGAATTTTTTGTGTGTAAAGGTTAAATTGTTCATTTGTTCAACAAACAACAAAAACATGAAAATAAAAACAAAATTCACACAAAACGATGAATTAACTTTTATTTTGATAAATAAATGTAAAAGAAACATTATGAATCTTTTTAATTTCACAAGGTTCTTTGAAATAAACCCATCTCACACGACGCAAACTCAGCTGTTTGATTCTTGACAGTTTTAGAACCTTCCAGAATGAGCTGTTTCAAGGCTCTGCCGTTTTAGGAAAGCAAGCAGGAGCTGGCCACGCCCACACATTCACACTCAGGATGGTATAAGCTGAGGCGCTCCCGTATCTGGGAGAAGCTCGGAGTACAGCCACTGCTCCTGCAGCAGCAGCTCTCTCGTATGTTCGAGGTGGTTCCATTCTATTATAATTTCCCTGTTTGTGACATCATAAAAGGGGGACTATTTTTAAAGGGCTTGCTTTAGGCACACAATTCCTACAACCAAACACAAATAGAACGCGGATTGATGGGTTTTATCCACGTTTGGAGTGTTTATAGAGGCAGTAGAGACCCATGTGGTGCCACAGATACAAAAGGTTAGTTTAGCATAAAATATCTGCCTTAAAAACAGTTCAGATGCAAAAAGAAATTGCTTTAGAAAATTTGCCACAGCTGCTTTAACTGCTTTGAGTTTCACTTCCTTTGGTGGTGGAATATAAATAAATAATTAAAGATTTTCTTACATTTTTTATTGCATCTTTACTAAAGTTTCAATTTTCTACAAAAAAAAACCGTTTGGGGTGTTTTTAGTGAGAAAAAACTTTAATAAAGAGCATTTTGGTATATGACTTGAAAACATTAAACATAGATAATCATAATAAATATTTAATCAACAAATTCAGATACAAGTAGTAAAACCACCAGAAGAATAACTGTTAACAGCAACAAATGTAAGACATTTCTATTTGAACCAACGTTCAGAAATTGGACTCAGAGAGAAGGCTCACTCACCCATTGGTTCCTTAATAACTCTGTAATAATCAGGGGCGTCGTTCGTATCCACCGGCTCCAGGAACGGCCACGCCATCTTATGTGCCTGCAGAGGAGTGAGGGACCATAAAAAGAAAAAGAAGACAGACACTCTTGAGAAAGCTGAAACCAAAGAAAAACAAACAGCACCATGAAAGCAGGTGGGTCAACACAGATGTTCTACTCTACTGTCCCACCCAGTTTCTCTCCCACACGGACTGCTGGATGGAGAGGGAAGACAAAAAGAAAGGGAAGTCAGAAGTAAAGAAAACACTAAAGCCAGGCAGATGTCCAAGTGGGGGTGGGGGGCATCAGATAAGATGGAGACAGAGGACTTTTGTTTGCTGCTCCGGCTCTTTGCTGCGGTTTGAAGGAGCCGTGTTGGTGTTCGACGGACCGCTGATGATAAAACTGCTGCTGCTTCTGCTGCTCAACAGTTGTGTGTGTGTGTGTGTGTGTGTGTGTGTGTGTGTGTGTGTGTAATGTTGCAGTGGAGAACAAATCTTCTCAGAAAACACTTTTCGTATCAGGCTCTTGGTCCATAACAGAGCTCAGATTATGACCCACCACCTTGATGAAAGTTCACCTTTTCTGCTCATTAAACCATTTTTGCAGCAGCTGCGAAGCTCCTGCTCACCTGCAGCGAGCGAAGGGTCCTTCGCAGGCCTTCGTAATCCTTATCGGTGAGTGGGGTGAAGACCGTCATGGCGTCTTCAGTGGACTGGCACTGCGGACACACGTACTGGTCGATGTGGTTGGCCTCGCTCTGCAGAATTCCCACGCAGCGACCGTGGTACCAGTTCTGACATCGATCACAGCCGATGTAAAACCTGAGAAGAAGGAAAAATACCCATAAAGCCTTCAGGTAGAAAAGCTTCAATTAGAGTTGATGTGATTCAGTATTTCCTCGCTTCTGTTGACTGAAAACGTTGTTGTAACATTTAATCTGATGTGATTCTGCCTCCATTCTATTTTTGTAAATAAGTCATTTCTGATCCTGCTTCACTATTAATAATGAATGAATGAATGAATGAACGAATGAATGAATGAAAGAAAGAAAGCGAAGCGCAAACCGGAAAAGTATTTGCAACTCACAGTTTGACAACAAATAGTGAAAGAACAAAAAAAGCTGGAAACACACGGATTCTTCCTGATGACAGAAGCGAGTCTACTCTTTGTTTGGTAGTTTAGGTCTTTACACGGTCACTGGGTGCAATATTCTCTTCAAATAACAGTAAAAACGCTCAAAACGCTGGCAGTCAGGGGCTTTCTGTTCAGAACACAGCTGGCAGTGAATGAGTTCATATTTGACTTTGGACTTTATCTGGATGCGTAACTTAATAGACGCATTTTTCCCACAGCCTCACGGGAACGTCCATTCCCACCGGGAGCGTTTAAAAAAAACAGCAAAAGTGTTCCATACAGCTGGTTCTGTGAGGTCACAAAATCATCGCAGGATTCCACGATCATGTGCGATTTCGACAGTCGAGAAATAACAAGCAAGGACGACGAAGGCAGCATGCATCCAAACCGGAACGCTGCGAATACACGTCATGGACGTTAGGTGATGCTTAGCAAGGCGGAAAGCCAACGTTGGTCTTTTTATCCGTTTCTTGTGCTCCTCACACACACACACGCGCGTGCACACACACACACACACACGCGCGCACACGGCTCCTTACTGGGACTCGTCATAGGGAGTCTGACAGATGCAGTAGAGCTCCTCCGTGTTGCTCTCCTGACCCCGTTTACACTCCACACAGATGTAGTCGTCCATTTTCTTGGCCTCCTTCTCTGTGATGCCCACACATTCTCCGTGATACCAGTTGGTACAAAGATCACAGCCGATATAAAACCTGGACACAGGACGGAGATCATCACGATAAAAGGTTATATAACTGGCTTTTATCAGTGGAATCTGATGCTTTTTGGTAGCAGAAAAGAAAAAAAGGTCGAAGGCGTTTTTAATGTGGAAGCGTGTTTTCCACAGGCGGGAAGCAGCTCCCACTAGAGAAGCCTTTGTTTCCATCATATGAGTGAAATTTAAGCCTTTTTCTTAACCTCGATGAATTATTCATTTTAGCCCAGGTGCGTGTGTTCATGAACACAGTCGCGTTATCAAAGACAGTCAAGCATACTTGGTCTCGTCGTAGGGAGTCTTGCAGATGCAGTAGAGCTTTGTGTCCTTCTTGCTCTCCTTTGTGCTCGTTGTAGAAATCATCTTCTTCTTTTTGGACTTGGCTGTCGTCACCGTTTCTCTTTCCTCTTCCCGTTTCCTCTTGTGCGAGGAGGTGACGGTCGTGGTGAGGTGCTGGGAGGAGAGGCCGTGCTTGTGCACTAGAGCTTGCTGTTTCTGATTGTGAGCAGCAGCCGCCGCCGCCTGAGCAGCCAGCTGGGCGGCGGCCTTCTCCCTTTCCTTCTCCCTCCGCATCCGTAACAAGTCCCTCTTCAACTCCTCCTGAGGAATGTGACACAAGGACAAAACAAATCACACACAAGGTTACTCCTCTTTAATGTTTCGGACTACTCCGGTGTCTTCTACTCTCATGTAGGTCTCTTCGTTCATACCTGAGCCTCCAGCTGCAGCTCCTTGTCCAGAAGCGCCCTCTTCTTCAGAATCTCCATCTTCAGGCTTTCTTTGTGTCGGTAAAGCAGCATGGAGAGCTTGCTAGCATTGGCTAACCTCCTTTTGGCCTCCACAACCTCCTCCTTCTTCCTTTTCTTGGCTGCCTGCCTTTCATCTTTATCTATTCGGTCTAGGAGGAACTTCATCACCTGGTTGCAAACAATCATCCTGAAGAGAATCACAATAAAAAAGTTGTGTGAGAAATTTATTTTCGCTTTAGACTCTCCTAAGTTGCTGAAAATGTTCCTAAGTTAGATGTCACTAAAAATGTCACTAAATGTTCCTCTCTAGCTACTAAGAATTACAGGAGGAGCTCAGAGACGCTTGTTTCAGGAACTAGCAGAATGCCAGAGCTCAACACAGCAGGGTTTGGAGTAGGGATGAGCGAGTACACCACCATCTGTATCTGTATCTGTTCAACCAACTAAATTATCTGTATCTGTATCCGGAATGGGCGTGGTATAACCCGGAAGTGGGCGTGGTTTAACCGGAAGTGGGTGTGGTTTACATCAATACATTATTTTAAGTCTGAAATTGATATGGATTGATCAGAAGTTGATATGTGTATTGTTTATTTGAAAACTATTTACAGAGCAGCCTCAGAATTGAGATTAAATATTTTTTATCATAATAGTAAAGAAACTATTTCAGAACAAGTGTTTCAATAAAATCAGAACATTAATATTTAAGTACATGGATTAATACATCTGAACTCATGCAGTAGGAACTAGGAAATATGAGATGCCAGAACCAGACACAACTTTCTATACATATATTTTAATTTTAATTTGATTAAACAGATTTTTTTTCTTAACGTTCTTGGCATTTTGCCCCACACAAAGTTAAACAAAACAGAGTGGATTAAGGTGTGTGTGTCTGAGAGAGATAGAGACGGTGAGAGGGAGAGAGATGGAGTTAAAAAACTAAAAAACCCGACCGGAGCGGAGGTAGTGAGAGACTGATGCAGCACGTCAGCTCTGTCTTGTCAAACGCACCATGTCAGTTACGAAAAAAGTAACTTTAAATATTCAACTGAAAAAGAGGCGAGCTGAAGAAAACCTAGGGGAAACTGAAGAAACGTGAGCAACAGTGAAGCAATCACAGTGAGATCCGTTACTGTGTGTGTGTGTGTGTGCGTGCGCGGATGAGCCAGACGGACTGCGCTCCCGGCCGGCTAGAGAATGTTGTGTGTAGGGAGGGGCGGGCGCTCCATGTGACTGGCCAATCACAGAGCGTGAAGACACTCAGTTACCCAATGAGGATTTTCCTTCAGCACGACTACAGATATTTCCAAGGTTTACTCGTCTCATGCTCGTATTCGTCAAAAATGCTTTATCCGTACCGGATACTCGTTTGAAACGGCTCATCCCTAGTTTGGAGTCTCAGTTCCTGATATCTTGCCTTGGATTGGCTAACAGCAACGCATCTCCACCACTGACTCCGTTGGCTCTGCAACACTGATGTTATTTCATATATGTTATTTTCACAAACAACACAAGCCTGGAAGAGTTCTGTCATGTGGTGAAGTTGCTAAAGCTACCAGTTAGCTTCTACTAGCTGAGACGATCTCTGCGGTTTCCTGGATGCTAAACCAACAACAGCCTTCCTCGTCGTGAGTCGAGACGGATGAGTCCATGAATGTTTAGTGACAGTGTGACGTAGATCTGTCAGATTTTTCTAATCCTAGAGTTTCACTGTCTATTTTCTATCAGAAGCTAATGCAGGAGATTGGTGTAGGAGACTACTTTCACATTGAGCACGCATAAAAAACTCAGAGAGACAGATTATAATCAGAAATAATAATTAAAAAATGTCTTTTCAGTGAAAAGCACCTTTAAATGTTTGAGATTTTAAAAGTTACTACGTGGTTTATTTGAGTGGAACTCTGAAGAGTGGAAGTGTGACGCAAAAAAGCAGCTCTCCAGACCAGATTCAACGTGGAGCTGTAGGACAAAATAGATCACAGATGATGAATATCACACACGAGAGGTCTTGTACTTTTGAATCATTTGAATTAGGACAGCTGGTATCATTTATCCATTATTCTACTTTTTATTATTCAAAAACAGAAGAAATCTTGAAGCATTTTTGTGTGAAAATATGATTTCAGGCCAGGATGCTGTTTCTTTTTAAACAGATTAAAAAATAATATATTTTTCTAATTAATAGTAGTAAAATAAGCTTAACTGATAAAAAACTTTGACGTAAAAGTTCTAAGTCACACAGAGGGGAGAAAGATGCACTAATATTTGTTTTATGATGACATTTGCATGGATTCTCCGTCGTCCAGGGCATGTTCATCTTGTTGGTTTATTTGGAAACAACTGGACTTCTCTTGTTTTCCAACTGCATAATTAATGAGGGATATAGATAATAAATAATAAGTGAAGGGAAATAGATACTTTTAGGACTAGCCTTTGTAATACATTTCTCATTTTCATTACTGCTTCATTAACTTTTATTATAAAATGTGTGTTAATACATCATTTTGTTATAAATTGTTATTGAGTGGGATACTTTTGTAAAATGTGGTTGTTTTAGTTTTGTGTAGGACATCTTCCGTCTTCCATTCTGTGTTTTTTTATATTGTCTTAATTTTCGTCGTCTTCGTCTTCCTCCGCTTATCCGGGTCCGGGTCGCGGGGGCAGCATCCCAACTAGGGAGCTCCAGGCCATCCTCTCCCCGGCCACCTCCACCAGCTCCTCCGGCAGGATCCCAAGGCGTTCCCGGACCAGATTGGAGATGTAACCTCTCCAACGTGTCCTGGGTCGACCCGGGGGCCTCCTGCCGGCAGGACATGCCCGAAACACCTCACCAGGGAGGCGTCCAGGAGGCATCCTGACCAGATGCCCAAACCACCTCAACTGGCTCCTTTCGATCCGGAGGAGCAGCGGTTCTACTCCGAGCCCCTCCCGAATGTCCGAGCTCCTCACCCTATCTCTAAGGCTGAGCCCGGCCACCCTACGGAGGAAACTCATTTCGGCCGCTTGTATCCGCGATCTCGTTCTTTCGGTCATTACCCAAAGCTCATGACCATAGGTGAGGATTGGGACGTAGATCGACCGGTAAATCGAGAGCCTGGCTTTCTGGCTCAGCTCCCTCTTCCCCACGACAGATCGGCTCAGCGTCCGCATCACTACAGACGCCGAACCAATCCGCCTGTCGATCTCCCGATCCCTCCTACCCTCACTCGTGAACAAGACCCCGAGATACTTAAACTCCTCCACTTGAGGTAGGACCTCTCCCCCGACCCGGAGGTGGCAAGCCACCCTTTCCCGGTCGAGAACCATGGTCTCAGATTTGGAGGTGCTGATCCTCATCCCAGCCGCTTCACACTCGGCCGCGAACCTACCCAGCAAGAGCTGAAGGTCAGAGCTGGATGAAGCTAGGAGGACCACATCATCCACAAAAAGCAGCGACGAGATTCTCCTGCCACCAAACTCGACACACTCCACACCACGGCTGCGTCTAGAAATTCTGTCCATAAAGGTGATGAACAGAACCGGTGACAAAGGGCAGCCCTGGCGGAGTCCAACCCTCACCGGGAACAGGTCCGACTTACTACCGGCTATGCGGACCAAACTCACGCTCCTCTGGTAAAGGGACTGAATGGCCCTTAACAGAAAGCCACCCACCCCATACTCCTGGAGCGTCCCCCACAGGGTGCCCCTGGGGACACGGTCATAAGCCTTCTCCAAATCCACAAAACACATGTGGATTGGTTGGGCAAACTCCCATGCCCCCTCCATCACCCTTGCAAGGGTATAGAGCTGGTCCACAGTTCCACGGCCAGGACGAAAACCACATTGCTCCTCCTCTATCTGAGATTCGACCATCGATCGGACCCTCCTCTCCAGTACCTTGGAGTAGACCTTTCCAGGGAGGCTTAATTTTTTATGTA